ACTGCACGGGGCAGCATCGTGACCCGTCGCCAACACAGTGCACGGGACCGTATAGTGACTTGCCGCGAACACAATGCAAGGAGCCGTATCGTGACATGTCGCCAACACAATGTACGGGGCCGTATCGTGACGTGTCGTCAACACAATGTACGGGGCCGTATCGTGACTTGTCGCCAACACAATGCACGGGGACGTATCGTGACTTGTCGCGAAAACAATGCAAGGGGCCTTATTGTGACTTGTCACCAACACAGTGCACGGTGCCATATCGTGACCTGTCGCCAACACAATACACGGGACCGTATCGTGACCTATCATCAACACAATGCACGGGGCCGTATCGTGACCTGCTGCCCTCACAGTGCACACATCCACACAATTACCGAGCTCATACTCGCTCTCCGCATCCTCTGCTATCGTCTCCATTGTACCCGTTGCATGGCCGTCCGACCGCTCTCCGTAGCTGCCACTCGCACACTGAGCAGGCGAGCGCCTGGGAGAGCTCCCAGCATGCACTGCAAAGCGTCGGCACAGCAGCTCCCTTCTTTATTTCATTATTCACCCCCCCTTTTTTTTTCTTTCATTAAGAGTGCGTAAGGTCAGAGGGTCGCCGTGCACGGACGGCAACTTCTCCGGCAGAGCTGTTAACCGTGCAGTAGAACAAAAAGGCACCCCGCGTAATTTACATACAGGCCGTACACGCGTTTCACTACAATGACCCAAATTACTATTCTTACACTTGATTTTTAATGTCTGCGAAAGGAAACGAACGTGACACCGCGTCGTACGGTAAAGTAGTAACCAACGTATCTCAGGAACACGCGTGGAACANCCCCCCCCCCCCCTTTTTTTTTTCTTTCATTAAGAGTGCGTAAGGTCAGAGGGTCGCCGTGCACGGACGGCAACTTCTCCGGCAGAGCTGTTAACCGTGCAGTAGAACAAAAAGGCACCCCGCGTAATTTACATACAGGCCGTACACGCGTTTCACTACAATGACCCAAATTACTATTCTTACACTTGATTTTTAATGTCTGCGAAAGGAAACGAACGTGACACCGCGTCGTACGGTAAAGTAGTAACCAACGTATCTCAGGAACACGCGTGGAACAAACAGGCACTAAACGAAAAGTGCCTCTGCGAAGCACCGACATCAAGGTCAAAATTCCACCAACTGTTCCACATTCATTAATAATCCTATCATGGACGCTATGTAGTCTCGATACTGTCATCGTCGCTAAATAACCAATTATAAAATGGCGGAAAGCTGGCTAAGAACACGCAGAAGGATGCCTCTGGGGAACGCATGGCTGCTAGATGTTAAAAGTTGTCCCTTATAACTCCGTGGATTCTTAACCTCGACAGTACAGGAAGGGCAGAGACCACTTTATTCCCAGGACAACGAGTCCTAGAAGCCAAGAGTAGGTGGCTGGGGGAGGGGACAGAGCCAGTCTGGACGTTGTGGAGAAGAGAACAATCACTGACAATGCCGCAAATTGAATATGGATTCCCAAGTGTTCGCTCCAGCGCACAGACCAGTCACTGCACAGATGAGCTACCCTCTCCCATCATCAGTAAACAATCACGTTTAAAATTACATCTCCATTACCCAGTGTTTTCTCTAATAATCAGCATGGTGCAACACAACTGAGAGGGCAGAGTGGTTGTGGCTCTCTCAGACACACTATTCTAGTAGTCATAGTAGTCACCCTGACTATGGAAAACCAAGAAACAGCTCTGACTGCTCAGCCTATGGTACCGTGAACTAAGTGGTTGCCAGATAATGCACATAAAGTGGAAACACAAGAGGAAGTAGATATGACGGGATTAAACAATTTGAAGTTCAGGCCACCAGTAGCTGTTCAGTTGCTTCTGAGTTTAATTATGCAGATGGACATACCATTTCACAATATGGAGCCATCCTATATGCCTGATGTGAAGAAAGCATAACAAGTGGAAATATTCTGTGTGCCCCATAATGTGATGCTGTACAGGGGACTTGAGGAGACAACAGCTCATCAGTAACATTTGGGGTGATACTCTCTTACAGGGCATGTACTGTGTACAGGTAGAGGCCTTGCGACGAGCTGATCACCCAACCAAGGAGTCCTACCGAATGTGTAAGCTCTAGAAAAACTGAAGTGAATGGAGAAGTTCATGGAGGTAGGCCTAGGCCCACTGGGGCTCTAGTGTCAAGAAAAAAAAAATACTCTCTTACAGATGGATCACAGGCAGTTAAGTTGTGAATTAAATTCAAGAACTTCTGGGACATCATGTCATGTGGTTTGGTAGAGCTGACAACTGCCCTTTCTGGGCCTCCTTCCCTCTTTTCCTTCATTTCTGACCCCCTTTAGCCATTTCCTTTCCTCCAGTTCCTTCTGACATTCAAAACTGCAATGAACAGTGCTCTTTTCTGGTATGTGACAATGTGTAGTCTAGCACAAGTTTCAGAAGAACAACGCACTGCATATGTACATCTCCAGCACTGAGGAGTCTCACAAGAAAGCTATTTGAAGCAGGGAGGAGGGGCAGTAGACTCCTCTGAAACATCAGCAAACTTCCACCTGACTGCACAGTGCCACATTCCCAAACACACTTCTCTTCAGAGTCACTGCTGTGAGAACCTTAGATCCAATATGATATTTTTCTTTCCTTTTATACATCTTTTTTTTGCCATCAAAAAACTGTCCTCTTCAATAGCACTGGCTCCCACTGGCTTGCTCACTGCCCTGGTCCCATCCATACTTTCCCAATACTGTACATCATTTTTGCCCCTCAGCTCATTCCTTCTTCCCTGAAGATTGTGGCAGAAAGTTCCTCTGAAATGTTTAAGGAACCATTCTACCAAACTACATGGTGCCACATACCAGAAGCCTGATCTTAGTTCTTATCACTTTGAGTATCTCAAACATACATTCCTTTAAGAAAATTACCACATTGCATTTCCAGCCTTCATCTACAGTGTGATCACATTTATATTCATGGGGAGCTACAGGGCATACAGACAGAAACCAAGCCTGTTAACCACTCAGGTGCTAGGACAGTGCACTAGGTGACAAGGGCAGAGAATGGCTTTCCAAAAACACACTTAAAGATTCCTACAAGACACTTATTCATTAAGAAAACAAAACTGGAGACAGAATGGCTTTCCAAGAACAGTTTCCAACACTTAAAGATTCCTACAAGACACTTAATCATTAAGAAAACAAAACTGGAGACAGAATGGCTTTCCAAGAACAGTTTCCAACACTTAAAGATTCCTACAAGACACTTAATCATTAAGAAAACAAAACTGGAGACAGAATGGCTTTCCAAGAACAGTTTCCAACACTTAAAGATTCCTACAAGACACTTAATCATTAAGAAAACAAAACTGGAGACAGAATGGCTTTCCAAGAACAGTTTCCAACACTTAAAGATTCCTACAAGACACTTAATCATTAAGAAAACAAAACTGGAGACAGAATGGCTTTCCAAGAACAGTTTCCAACACTTAAAGATTCCTACAAGACACTTAATCATTAAGAAAACAAAACTGGAGACAGAATGGCTTTCCAAGAACAGTTTCCAACACTTAAAGATTCCTACAAGACACTTAATCATTAAGAAAACAAAACTGGAGACAGAATGGCTTTCCAAGAACAGTTTCCAACACTTAAAGATTCCTACAAGACACTTAATCATTAAGAAAACAAAACTGGAGACAGAATGGCTTTCCAAGAACAGTTTCCAAAACTTAATGATTCATATAAGACACTCATTCATTTAGATCACAAAATTAACACATTCGGACACAGCTGGCTATTCGATGGCCTGACTCTGCAGTATAGCCACCACAAGGAAATCTGCGGCAGGGCACCACCCTGCCATTGCCAAATTAGAATTTAAAGGATGAGCACAGAGCATGTGCAAAAGCAGGGTGCTGAGGAGAATATTTGGACCTAAGGATAATTGCTTGGAGGGTGGAGAAAACTGCATAATGATGGCTACTGATCAGTAGCCATCATGACAAGGACCGTACAGATCCAGCAACATCAGAGGACGCAGAAAAACAGCGAGACCTCCAAAACGTGAAAAGTGCAATATAATAAAATTGAACTTTAATTCATGAACTTTTTAACCAATAATATAATTAAAACTAGTTAAAGTGAACTTGACGCAGTGATGAGCGTAAGTAGGAAGTGACTGTATAAGTGAAAGTGAAAGCACACTAGTGATCTGAATTGAAATTCGATTCGCAAATTTTAAATTTTAAATTTTAACGTTTAACGTTTAGAATAATATTTTTACTTGTGTTTTGTGAGAGGAACTTGATATATTATTGAGCGTGGGCCTGAATAAGATACAGGATCGAATAAGTGAAAAGACAAATATCATTGTGTGTAATTATACAGCTGTGTTCGTACACCTGAGGATGACCTCTTGAGGTCAAAACATGTAGTGTAATAATAATAAAAATATGTTATGTGGTCGGTAAAATTGACTCTAATATTAATGCATACAAAATTTTGGAAGGAAAACCTGAAGAGACCACATGGAAGATTTAAGTGTAGATTTGAGGAAAATATTAAAATGGATCTCAAAGAAACAGGGTGGGAGGGTTTGAACTGGAATTACTTGGTTCAGAAAAGGGATCAGTAGTGGACTCTTGTGAATATGCTAATGAATTTTTGAGTTTCATAAAATGGAAGAAATTTCTATACTGGTTGACAAGACTATCAGCTTCTCAAGGATTCTGCTTCATTAGTTAGATAGTTAGTTAGTCAGTTAGTTGGCTATGAAGACCAATTACAAACACTGAAATGCTGATATCTGAATCAGCCTTCATATATTACATTATACGTAACCATAAAATTCTGACGGAAGTTACTAATCAGAGGTCTGAATGTGTAAATTTATTGACAAATATACATGAGAAAGGGAACGGATTTACTTGCAGATGCCTCACACATCACACAAATGAAACATGAAGTACACTGTTACACAGCAACCTCCATACTCACTTGTGGTGTAACCAAATTCATCCTCCTCCTCCTTGTCTGCCTCTATCTCCTCCTTGGACCTCTTTACATTACCAGCACTGGCTCGATATATCTGTAAACACAGGGAATCTTACAGTAGCACACTGCACCTGTCTGGGCCAGTTTCTTAAGCTAAACAAATGATAATTAATGGCACAAATATGCATATATACATTTACCATACAATAAAAGTGACATCTCCACTCTTGTGCATACCTCTCGTCCCATCTTGGTGTGGATGCGCCCCTCCAAGTCCCGGATGTCCTCCTCCTCCTCATCACTGTCCTCGCTGGATGAGTACTGTGGTTTCTTCTGGGGCTCTGAGGGGCGCAGTGCACTAGAATCCTGCCATTTTTCCTGTACATCTTGCTTCTGTCTGTCAGCTAGCCCCTCCTGTACCACAAGCAAATCTCACTCACCAATGACAACACAAACAGTTGCATCCTCATAATAACTACTCAATATATAGTTGTTTGTCACAAGTGGCTCCAACTGTTCTGACCCTTCGAGTGCAAACAGTTAACACAACTATTTCTGAACCCTGACAACTAAACTCAATGTGACCTGAAGATCACTGTCTTCTGGAATATTATGCCATGTAGTCCAGAAGATAATTACTAAAATTTTGACTGAAACTGCTCACTTCATCTTCTCGGTGGCAGAGTCCCACGTGCGCAGAAAATTGGCAGCTCTACAGAGAAGGTTGGGGACTGGTACTGGAGCTCTGAGTGAACAAACAGGAGTAAAAGCATTGAACCTTCAAAGGTATGCTTTCCGAGGGCAGGGTCAATGAAAGAAATCGCAGTTCCAAGTGAACCAACAGCAAGCAGAGAGAAATCAGAAGTCAGGAGAGACCAGACTAATGAAACAGTGGCCCTTTAGATGGTATTTTCTTAAGGGCAGAGCAGATGGAACAAAAAATATTAAGCATTAACAGAGACAATATTCACAAGACAATGTAGTGAGGCAGACTTAACTTAGGCTGTATTTTGATATCAATATTCCCTCCATATCACCAGTAACACTGGCATTATAGATGAAGAGGCAGGTCATGTGATTTCTGTGAAAACTCTGGTAGGTTGCCTGTCAGTCTCACCTGAATCAGTTCCGGGCTCGGTGTCCTAGCCTGTGGAACGTGCGAAGGGGCCGCTCTTAGAAGTTCTCTGGTGGGGGAAGGAGTGGTGGGGGGCTGTCCGGAACCACCAGCTGCTCCTGCGGAGGATGCGGACGCAACTTCAGTCGTATGACTCTCAACATCTCCGTCCACACTCTGCAACGAGTAGGTGGGACATCCACTCATGCTTGCCAACTCACTCAGGGCCCACAGGGGGAATTCTACTGACAATACCACAGGGATACAAACATACATGCAAACAGACAGTTGGAGCTAACTCACCCACTGAATGAGGGATTGCACCAGGAAGCACACAGGGTTGCACGCCCCACGTATCACTTCCACAGCCCGTTCATGGCTGGCTTGCCGGAGATCAACGCCATCCACTTCCAATATTCTGTCCCCAGTCTGGAAAATCAGTTAACCCTCAGTCAGCGTGCAGCATCATGGTACCAACGTAAGAGGCACAGAAAGCTGGCCCATTTCCAACATACCTTAAGCTCACCAGTTCGGCCTGCTGGACTCTGGGGCAACACATTCTTTATGAAAATTCCTGAGATTGCGGATCCACTGTCTGGACCTGCATTGTACAAGTCAACCTGTGCAGAAACAAGTAGTCATTATGAAACTGTCATCAAAACAGACAACAAATGATGCATCAGGAACCCTGGGTGTCATACAATAGACAGGCAGCCTACACCAGGCAGGTTCTAATTTTTTTAATTCAGAATCAAAACAGTTAACTTTACAGTACTGAATCCTGTTCAGAAAGTGATTGTTGATCAGCTAGTCACGAAATTCTTCATCTTTTATAGAATGTGAAGGTTCGTCACCATATTCACAAGAGCTCGCCACTGAGAGAAGTAACTCCATTCCATGCCCTCACACCCAGTTTCCTTTAATATCGACTTTAATACAATCATCTTATCAGTACCCAGTCCCCAAAGTAGTTCTCTTCCTTCAGGTTTTGTGATTAGAATTCTGTACACATTCCTCATTGCCCCACATCTTGCCCATCTAACAATCCCTATAAACATTTGGCAAAGAGCACAAATTATGAAGCTTCTCAATATTTTCCATCCTTCTGTTACTCCTCCTATCACAGACCCATCCAGATATTCTCCTCACAAACACTTGCAATTTATAAGTCAGACTCGAAATCACCAGTAACATGAAAACTGCATTACATACAGGAGAAAGGAAGAAGCACTTACAGATTAAATATGGCATTTTGTTGTCATCAACATCATCATCATCGTCATCCTCCTCCTCATCATCTTCATAAGCATAATAATAATAATAATAATAATAATAATAATCGTCATCATCACCATCATCCTACTTTAGGCCCAGCTCAGGCGTCAGGGCTATTACAGAACTGAATCTTTCCATCTTATCTGAGGTCTCTCCAAGCCTCCTAATCTAGGCCAATATTTATATGTTTGTGTGGGTGTGTGTGCATGCGCACATGCATATATTTCACTATTAGGGCTGATTCTTCCAACATATTCTTTCATGTCGTTTCTACAATACTGTAAAAAATTCATTTATGAAACTTTAAATCCAGTTGTTATTTCTTTTATGACCAAAAGAGCTGTAACATGCTGTCTCATGGAATCTTCTCCCAGCAGCACTCCATACGGTCTCTATGGAATTTCTGGCCTAGCAAGAGCTCCATATACCCCTACAGTTTGATACTGTCAGAGTAAATTGCTGACTACTTGTGTTCTCCCAAAGCTGTTATAATTATATCTTACCTTTCCTCCAACTATACTTATTCCCAGGCTGCAGTTGGGTTCACGGAGGATTTCCACCAAGCGCTCAGGACCCCAGTGCTTGGCCAGCAGCACTGAGGATGGGGAGGAGGCCGTAACAGCATGACCTTGTGTCACAGTCATTGCTGAATCAGGTAGCAACTTAGTCTCTGAAGGGGTAGTAGGTTTAGAGGTTAATGCACTTTGCTCGTCGATCGAGTCTCTTTTACTAGGCACTGTAACTACACTGCTAGGCTCAGCACTGTCCTGTGCAGGCTGCAGTGACACTTCTAAGTCTGCACACTCTACTGTCACTCCTGCAACCACTGCAACGTCACACACTGTTTCGGCAGGGCCTTCAAAAGGCTCTTCACTCGGCACAATGTCGGGACCCTTCTCGCTCTCCTGACGTATGTATGGCGAGCTGGAACAAACGTGTCACTACCTGTCACATCTGGCAAGCAACTCTTCACACTATTAAATAACCCTATTTCATGTGGTTATCTCACTGACTGACTACATACTTCCTGCTATTCATTACAAGTAACTCAATCCGTAGCCAAGGCTGTTGAAGTAACATTCAAGTATTATGGACGAGTCTTTCATATGGTTTGAATCCATATTCCCAGTCTTTTCTTTTTAACTATATGAGTAAGCCTTAATTTCGCTATAGCTCAAGCGGTTAGTCGCTGGCTTCCTACCGCGGCTGCCCAGGTTCGATCCCGGGTCTGGTCAAGTGGGAGTTGTGGTGGACAAAATGGCATTGGGGCAGGTTTTCTCTGAGTACTTTGGTTTCCCCTGCCAATCTTCATTCCACCAATTGCTCCACAATCACCCTCACCTATCATCTGCGGCTGGCACAATAGGCTAGAAGCGGCTGCAGTACAAGGGACTTAGTCCCACCCCACTAGCAATAAAAAAAAAAGCCTTAATTTATGAACTTTAGTGTTGTTCCTCCTTTAAAATTTTAGCCACTATTTACTGTGATACTAAACAAGGAAAGCAGCCATGTCCTTCAGGTATAACTTAAACTTGAGTTCTGGAAAGACACATGTTAATATTCTGGATGATTATTTTGCAATGCTGCACCAAATGAGATGCAGGATAACCAGGAAGGGCAGTGAGAGTGTGGGGATGGTGCTAACCCACGGGAAAGGGCCATGTGATGAAGAAGGGTTGGATGAAAGGGATGAAATCAAACTTTACTTAGTTTGCATCTGTCTCTTAGAGGTCAAGAAGCAGGAGAATTTCAATATCTCAACATATGTCAAACAATTGTAACAGCTTCAACATGCGACATGACTGAACACCAAAAGCCAAAACACAATGTTAGATACACTACAAAAAAGACCTAACAGCAAGAGTACTTTCCGAATTTTTAGAAGATGTCTTTCAGCAACTTCTTGAACAGATGTATGAAATACATGCATTTCATTTAGTTTTAATGGGCAAGTTCATTTCAGTGAGACAGATGTACCATCCACACTTCAAATTTGATTTGGGGTGACTTCTTACTTAATTTGTTTATACAATTAATTCTGGATATCATACTACATCAGCAGAGCTACAGTAAAGTCGGAGCAGTCCAAGATTGTGACCTGGTGCTCTGCTGAGTGCCATGGCACTACAAGGGCACTTCTTTTAAGGAGAGTGCTGTCAGACATTGGTGGCAGTTAATATAACTAATAAAAATCTCTACTACTGAAGTACATATCATTTTCATTAAAAACACACCATTTCACTTCAATAATACAATATTATTCTCATGAAAATACCTAAAACGAAAATAATTTTAAGAGTAGTTACATTGGAGATGTTGCAAAACAAATATGAGAACTTATATAGCATGCATAAATTTTGACTCCTCTGTTTGAGGTGGAAGTGTGAACCCCTTGAAGTATGTGTGCTATCGGAACTGTTCCATCACACACTTCAGTGTTCATAAGTGTGACGCCATCAACAAAAATGGCCCTGTATCATTATTCACAGCATTTCTTTCACCCTAGAACCACATGACAGACTGTCCCGGCACTTTTATTTTTAAGAGTATGCCTCTGTGTGGCAGCACTACACAGGTTTCCATGATATGGTTGCTAAGCCACACTGTGTACCATTTGTACTGGGATAGCAGGCGTTGTGAAACAAATAGAATGACTGCACTACCATGGGGACAGACAGAGTAAAGAATTGTCATTACATACGTGGGTAAGGTACTTCCATGCATAGCTCAAGTACTTTTAAATTGTGTGGGTGGGGGAGACATAAGGTAAATTTAAACAACTGTGGACTCGAAAGAAATTTCTATGAAAATTTGTCTTTACATACATGATGTCATTATGTCCTTTCATGTGAAAATGTTTTCTTGCAAATACTGTCATGTCATATGGATATAATTATAATTCACAGTGCATGCTGATCACTTGGGCACACTTCAGTAGAAGGGACAGCTGAATTTCTCAAACATATACAGAACCAGAGATAAACATTTCTGTTGACATACAAAACTGTTGGTCTCTAACAGAGACCTTATATAGCACATATTTGATTCAGATTATACTAATTAGTGGTTACTATATATGTAACATCTGCCTTACACAATTAAGAAAACCATTCATATCACCCACACTGTGCACTATATATTTCAAATGGCAATTATTTCCCTAAACAGCATTAACTGGTTGGTCTTCATTATCAAGACACAGCATGTTTTCTGTGCAGTAAGAAATGAGTTTCTATATATTATTTGGACTGACTTCATGCTTAAAAAGGTTAAATTATTAAGCTATTCCTGCCCAACAATTCTCTTAGCCCCATGACTACAATGGAAATATCTTTGCCTCATTCACTTTGTCCCTGAAAAAAAAAGCTATATAATACTGCTATTTCCTTACCCCTTCCTCTCTTTTGCACTGGCTTACTCGGAACCATATTTCCTTCCATTTGAAAACAACCCTCTAAAGGGTGGACATTCTTTACGCTGCTTCCCTCACTCCCATTGGCTCAATCAGGGCCAGAGTCCCAGTTATTACTTTCCCTGTATCTGTTCCATTTCTCCCACACTGACATTAATCTCCTATACTGAAGATGGAGGCAACAGACTTTTACAGACTATTAGTAAAGGTCTTCCACATTACAATGTCACATCTCAGAAGACAGTACTGTTGACTCTGTAATGCTAGTCTTATCCAGCAGCATGGAATCTCACCAAGGGAAACCACCTAAACAATATCTGTATATACGTATACATACACTTAAACTCGCTTGCACTTAGGACATCCCTTACATGCTGCCTAATTTAGTTATTCCCTCAAACTAACATGAGTTGATTCTCCAGTTTGGAACTAAATAAAACATGTCAACCCTCAATACCTGTAGTATAATGGCAAAAGGGAAACACAAGAACTTTTTTCTAGTGTGAACTTCTCTATTTATTTATGATTAATTTATAAATATTGTCATTAGTATCAAATGATAGGATTCACAGAGAGTAATGAATTGGAAAGGATGTGGTAAGAAGCAGTCATGTCCACATTTGAGGTACTATCCTGGCAGCCATCTGGGGGTACTGACAAGAACTACGAATGTTGGTCAGGATAGTCAGTCTCCAGGCCAAGATGTGAACATGGGTCCTTCACAATATGAAGAAATGTTAATCATTAGACTGTGAACATTGGTTACTAATGTGAATCTGAAATCAGTTTGGAATTGTGTGATGAATATAATGACTTGGATACTGAAGAAGAGTATTTATTACGTCTATTACAATACTGAATCACCTATATTCAACAGATACATATCAGAGGGCAGCCATGCGACTAACTTACCGGTAGTATTCAGGGAATATCCTAGGAATGCAAAGAATAAAACAAAACGAAGCATCATATATACAGCTGTGCTCATTGAAAGAAACATGCTTCAGTTATGCACTGCACCACATTCACGGGCAGACATCAAAACTGGGGATCTGCCCAACCAATTTCAATGTCTTTTGGGTTTCGCTTCCATTCTGGTGAACTTCAGTAATACATTTTACTCAGTCAGTATGGCAAATAGGATGTGGGCTGGATTATCAGCTGATTGGAGTTTGATTCCCAACAGGGCAAGAGAACTGTTTCTTATTCACAATGTCCAGACTGGCTCTGGGTCCACCTAGGGGCTCTAGCCCCTGAAGTAAAGCAGCCAGGACATGAAACTGATCATTCATGTCCATCTAGTGCCAAGGTTAAGAACACATAACTCCACTGCCCAGTAAGTGTGTATGGCATGAGCTTTAATCAAGTATAGGGGCAAATTTACCTTCAATGAAATATCAATTTTCACCAGAACAGAAAGGACAGGAGAGAAGTCTAGAGAGACAGATGTTGGCAGTACTTGGTGCATCTAGACCACTATGTGAATTCTGCATTCTGTTAACTTGGAATGAGTAACAGTTGACACAGCTGACTGATTCTGGCACACACTATGACTACTGAAACCAACATGGGCACGTCACATGCAGTGTCTTGTAATGCAAACTCTTCAAAGCAAGACCTATGTGTGCCCCTTTCAAAGTACCACAGAAGTGCGGAACCAAACATAATACAGGATCACAGCTGAATCACATATGAGGTTATCACAGCAGTGAATATTAGGATTTCTGTTTTCTGGAATGTAACACATGCTGTGCACTAGATGGTTACCAGTAGTTCAGATGAAGACACTGCCTTCATGTCTAGGGTTGAACCTGAAACCCAAAGGTGGAGGGAGCATGTTCCTCCTAAAACATTAGTAACCTTCTACCAGACTACATGGTGCCACAGCTCAGAAACTGCAATCGTATAAGCAACTAGTCTTGTTTACAGGTGGGGCTAGTGTATCTAGCAAAGGAATGCAGGAATGCATATTGCCATATGTTAACTGAGAGTATGTGCAGGAATCATTTGCATTGCGTTGCTACACACCTCAAGCACAATGACAAGTGAGTCTGGCATCTACTTTGTGCACACCCTACACAAATTTAAGATCATGTGCTTCTATACTCTTTGGAAAAGCTAGAACAGAAATTATTACAATATAAAATGAAAGGATACCAAGAAGGGAATTACACATAAAATGTAATGGAAAGGGACCTACTGGAAGACCTGGAACAAGATCATTCAGCCAGGCACTGAAAGACATCAGGATGAGACTGGAGACTTCTAGATTTTAACAGGATTTGATGATGGTGTATAAAAATCAGGATTACTCCGTTTTTGGACTTGTCCACCGCCTCGTATTCTGAAAAACCATGTTTCGGAAACTGGATCTGTTTCCGTCCTCAGATGAGGGAGCGGGGGGCATTCACTATGCTGCATCCATTAGAAAGAGCTAACCTCAGTCATTGAACCTGTGATTATCAACATTCCTCATTTTATGCTTTCACAGTCATTAACAGTCACTTCTCGGTTCAGTACAAGCTGTAGGCATGGGGAGTATTGCCAACATTTCAGAGGTAAATGGTACCTCCAGCTTCATTCTGAAGGCTGCATGTACCTCTGAAACATCAGCAACATTGCCCACATCTGTGTGGCATAACCATCCAAGAACAAAATTAACATATTTCTGACATACTTAACACAAGAGCAGGAGTGCTTCAGGAACAGCAACACCTGGTTACTGAACCCTGTGGGCCCCTCTGAACATCCCTATTCCCATTACTGCCGCACAACCCTCTGTGTCACCACTGTGTTGCAGACGAACAGCAACATCACCAATTGCTTTTTTATGTCTGAAGACACTTGGCTGATCTCACGCACCTTGGAGTTATATGCAGGGGCTGCTTCTGTGGAGCTGTCAGCACAGACGGTGACTCAGCGTCCTGCAGTGACTTCCTGTAGGCTGCTGCCGCTTCACCCGGGATGTACGTCACACTATTGAAGGAAAGTGGCATTATTTATAGAGAGAAAATGGCCATACAATGCTTCTCAGAATTAATAATTACTTGAAAACCTATAATGCAAAAGGCAGTAGTTTTTATGTAACATGAAAAAAAAAAGAAATGCATATACAATTTTGATCAGAACACCTGAGGGGATGATTCCACTTGGAACCTAAGATGCAGATATGAGGATAACACTAAGGTGGACCTTGCGGAAATAGGGTGTGAGATTGGACTGGATTCAACAGGCTCAAGATATGGCCATTGGCCATGCCATAGCTCAAGTGGTTAGTCGCTGGCTTCACGCCGTGGCCGCCATGGTTCAATCCCGGGTCTGGTCAAGTGGGATTTGTGGTGGACAAAGTGGCGCGGGGGCAGGTTTTCTCCGAGTACTTTGGTTTCCCCTGCCAATCTTCATTCCACCAATTGCTCCAGTCACCCTCACCTATCATCTGGGGCTGGTACAATAGGCCAGAAGTGGCCACAGTACAAGGGACTTAGTCTCACCCCACTAGCAATGAAAAGAAAAAAAATATATGGTCAAGTGGCTGGCTATGTAAGATCTGGCATTCTCACACCGGTGATCATGAAGAGTTATATCTTCTGAGATATAACACCAAGCTGTCCATTGAGAGTCAAATGATGTTTCAGAGGAACATGTCGCCTCCTTCTTCAGGGTGGGAGAATAAGCCAAGCAAGAAACCAACATGAAGCAGGTTTCTTGCTTGGTTTATTCTTTGCTCCTGAAGAAAGCTGCAGCATGTTCCTCTGAAATGTCAGTTCACTTTCAGTGGACAACAAGACAGAACACTTCAAATAAATGGCAGGCTATTTTGAACATGATAGTGAACCTCTAGCTTTCATAAAAGGTAGGGAATTTCTGGAGTAGTGTATTATGTATGAGCTTCTCTAGAAATTTCCTTGCACAGAGTCATAGTGAGGCCACACAAGGAAGTTCTATGGATTGATAATCCTCCCTCTGAATTTCCTTTCAGTTATTGCACTCTCCCACCAACATTCCCCTCTAGTTGTATAGATACTCTGTTTAAACAAATGTTGATAGTGAAAACATTCACTAGTGCCACGCACTTGGGCTAGTTGACACAGTGGGGGGGGGGGCAGAAAAAACAATACTAGACAGTGGGAAAGTGGGAGTCACAAACCCCAAAGCAGCTAAATGACTACACAGTGTTCCAAAAAATCATTTCCTTTCTAAAGAAAAAGGAAGCTGGAGTACCTGAACATCTAAAGCACACAACTGAAACAAGTTACTAATATTATGATGCTTGCTATTCGCATAGTGGATTCTATGGTTCCAAAGGATTAGCTCTTTGTACCACTCACACTACTAACACATGTGTGAAGGAGTCAACGTACTGAGGTACGATTCATCACCTACTGACATCATGCCAAAATATTTTACACACTTGCTACATCATTATCTTCCATTTTGCTTCATAAGACTTTAAACCTTTAAAGCACAGTGGTTGCTATACAAACCACCCCTTTAACATTCTTAAAGGCTACATCTTTCTCACACAGAGAGTTTACGAGAGTCATATAATTCACAAAATAAACAATGATCATTTCCCTAAGCAGTATTAAGTGGCTGGTCTTTGTAATGGAGACAGGGGTGTTTCCTAATGAGTTAGGAACTGAATTTTAAACAATACCTAAATGAACTGCAGTTTTCAAATGGTTAATACAAAGCTGAGTGCCTTTCAGATATCTCTCTACTGTGAACTGTACTAATACTGCTGCCATTTCACAAAGTTTGTGTAGTTCTGGGACTGGGACTGAGATTCAAACAGAATGCCAATCAGTGCCTACAATACTGACATGTCAGACAGACAGGATTACAGATCACAAAGTCCACTGCTGTCTGCAAAAATGATAAAACGATATCTGCCAGCAGCAAGCCCACTGAAACATCAACGATGTTCAGGACTTACAGTTTGGGAACAATATGAAGGAAACCCGTTAAGATTAATAAAAAATCAGGGGGTTCCCAGCAAGCTAGGTAGTATGGGCTGCCTGGATTCTAAATTCTGATTTTGGCGCCGTGTATTCTTCATTTTGGCCGACGTTTCGGAGGAACGTATCGCCTCCATCTTCAGAGCAGGTGAATGGTTTGGAATGCAGAGAGCAGTAGCTGCATTCCAAGCCATTCACCTGCTCTGAAGATGGAGGCGATACGTTCCTCCGAAACGTCGGCCAAAACGAAAAATACACTGCAGAGAGCAGTAGCTGCATTCCAAGCCATTCACCTGCTCTGAAGATGGAGGCGATACTTTCCTCCGAAACGTCGGCCAAAACAAAGAATACACGGCGCCAAAACCCAGAAGACAACTTTCTTCATAGTCATCGCCGTGAAAACCTCAAAACTTAAATAAATGAATTGTTTGGAATTGGTAGCAAATAAAAAGAATGCAACTTCCTGCTTGGCTGCCTTATTCAGTTACTGAGCCATTTGTCCACTAAACCAGTCATGTGTGTGTTTGAATATCAGGTTAATGAGTGTTGCAGTCAAGTGAGGTCCAAGATTCAAATCTAAGCTGGGACAATGGCTACCTTGGCTAAGGTTTTTGTTCCTTCAAGCAGTTGCTGGGATAGTACCTTCCACATCCCTTCCATTTCACTGCTCACTAACAATCTCATCATTGGACACAGGACAGTCTGAGCTACTGATACTGTTGTTCAGTGCACTGCCTTCTCAGTCGTGACACCATGTAGTCTGGTAGATGTTTACCGACATTTTGGAGGAACATGCTGCCTCTATCTTGAGGGTAGAAATGGAAACAGAGCCAGCATGTTCCACCAAAATGTCTATACTTATCTACCAGACCACACAGCAACACAACCCAGGAGACAGTATCTCTGTAGTCTGCCATGAGAAACTAAAATCAAAAACTGTAAGTAAAGGCTACCTACTCACTGAACCACTCACCCACTAAACCTGTAACTCTCTTGTTTAAATATGCACCAATTCACTCACTGTTTCACTCCCTACACTGCAACATCTGCTAGCAACAATGCTACTGCTGCTCCACACTGCTGGTAATCCTGTTAGCAGTAATAGGATACTGTTGTGAGGCTTCCAGAAGGAAGTTGCTATCCAATTTGTCCAACATGCATAAAGTGACCTGCAGTTCTGCCAGCCTTGATGGGACAACTGTTCATTCCTTCCCAAGCTCAAAATAACAACAACAATCATAAATTTCCTCATCATGTACGGTTTACATTCCTCATCACATGATTATCAAGTGTTCAAATTCTTACCCTTTCTTTAGGATGATATGTCTCAACTCACATATGTACAAAGTAACAGACATAAGTAATCACATTTTACTTAGCTTAATACTCAGTTTTTATCAGAGCTCATAATACTTTACAAGTTAAATAACAACAGTGACTTACTGGCTATAATAGTGAACTGTTATCATGCAACAGAATGTTGTTACTTCCCAGTTTCAAGAGAAATTACCTTTGCAAAAGCTGGCCACTTCCAAAAGTTCTATCATCTAACCTATTTGTAAAAATATAACTTTTATGTCTGTTCTCTGCTTTCTCCGACAGACCTAACAGAGACCACATACAGAGACATTATGAAATTCACTCTTTGTTCTTCCCAGTCTGCAAAGCACATATTTTGAACGTGATTGGAACTGTCATTCACACCCTTCTTTTTAAATTACATGACTCAAATTCTTTCTTTCAGTGTTATTCTTTCTTCAAAATTTTAGCTACTATAAACTGTGATAGTTAAAAGGAAATCTGATGTATCTCTGGCAAAAAGTGGATACAAAACTCTTCATCACAGGCTTCTTGCTATTAATTAATTTCATTCGCTTAGTGGGGGGTGGAGTCCAACTGGGTCCACTTGGCACAGCGGCCACTGATTGGCCTATTGTAGCCTGCCCCGGGTGATTATGATGATGGAGAATTTGGTGGAATGAAGATTGACAGGGGAAACCGAAGTACTCGGAGAAAACCCACCCCAGCACCACTTTGACCACCACAAATCCCACTTGACCAGACCCGGGATCGAACCCAGGCCACTGCAGTGGGAAGCCAGCGACTAACTGCTTGAGCTATGGCGCAGCCAGGCTGCTTACTATCTGTATTCAAGACAGGTGAAGCAGTTTCAACATTTCCTCTCCTCACCTATTGTTAGTGATTACAACAAGGCTGAAATGGTCAGTGTAGCATAGACAAGAGGTACACAAAAATTTAGACTGGGAATTCTCATGAGAAGAGATGACACAGTCATACATGGGAGGTTAATAATTACAGAGGAGGTTGTGATGGTGTGAACTGGATAGGGTATTTCTGCAGGGATTTATTAATATTCAAGTCATGTAAGAACAGGCTATTTTGCACCAGACGAATAACTACTAACTTCTGAGCAAAGACCATGTACCATAGCTATAACCTCAAGCAGGAGCTCCAAATACATTTATTCTGCTGGAAGCAAGACAGGTAATAATGTACCTTATATCTGTTGAGAGGAGCTGCGTTCGTCGAAGGATGGCACGGGCCTGCGAGTTAGTCACCTTGCGAAGACTCTCATTGTTAACAGATAACAAGTAGTCACCAGGAACAATGCGGCCATCATGGGCTATGCACCCGCCCCCTGCTACAGCCACTACCAGCATACCATTCACTCCTTTGTCCACAGAGTCTACGCTCAGACCTAAGAAAACAAAAAATGAAACTGTAAATAAAATACCGTAGTTCTGTTTCATGTAGTAAGGGCCCCTACTCAGTTTCCAGCCCAGGGTTTGTTATCGGTGGCTGCAATTTTTCATAATTTTCTTCAGTACTCTACGCAAATTATAAGAAATACCTTCAAACAGGACACAAGTGCTTCCTTCCACATAATTAAAAATCAATACAATCAACCTTCCATTCAATGCCACATAATGTATGCACTGAGGAAAGGACTGTTAACTTCAAAAGAACAATGGTTACTATAAACCACCTCTTGTAGCACACGCATGCATAGAGAGACAGCACTTCAGCCCCAGAGTTTCTTTATACATTTTGAATAAATCTCAGAAGAAACAATTACTTCCCTATACAGTAATAGCCCACTGACCACACAACATCATATCCTAGATGGCCATAATCTTCAAAGCCATGGACTTCATCATTTACAGAAACTTCTGTGCTTCGTGGCTCCTGACACATTGAAACAAGGGGACCTATCTGTCACACAAACAAGCTCATTCTGAAATACTTCATCGAAAAACGTTCTCCCAAACCACACGGCAGAATATTCCAAAATGTAACAATCTCCACACTCATCACCGTGAGAACCTCAGCATACAATGGCCTGCCGATTCTTACCAAGGGGTTCCGCCCCTTTACGGACTCGGATGTCCAGCTCGAGGGAGGACGGAAGCTGCAGAACATCTGCTGCCCATGCTGCTGCCACTTCCTCCTCCTCTAGCTCTTCATCTGTCAGCTCACCAGAAGGCGTTTGGTGTGAGGCAATGAGGCGTTCTGTAGCTACCGGAACCATAAGCTGGAAGTATGAAACATGGTGTGAGAGCAGAGGCACAACCCACAAAACAAACTAATCCACCATCTGGTGGTTGCATTGTTTGTTTCACATCTTACTTATCATACATCTACCTATACGTAGGGCAGTCAAAACGTTCCTGGAATTCCCCTGCAGACGGAGAACGAGTGCACACACTGTTGTGGTGGGAAGCTCAGCATGTTTGCACACAGGTGCAACAGGTCTGGACAGGTTTCAGTGTGCAGTGTCGTTACTGTTCCGTTTGAATTAGACGTGAGTGTTGGCCATTTGGCGCAATGTCACAGTTCGAACAGGGTGTGAACATCAAGTTCATGTGCAAATTGGGAAAATCTCCTTCAGAGACGCTATCAGCCCTGCAGCAAGTTTACAGTGATACTGCACTAAAGAAATTCACAGTTTACGACTGGTTTTCCCGGTTTAAGAATGGGCAGGAGACGTTAGAGGATGACGAGCACAGGGGGAGACCTTTGACATCCAGAACTGAAGGAATGATTGGAAAAGTGTGACAACAAATTCGATGTGACTGAAGAATGACCATCGCGGAGTTGGAGCAAGATGTTGGTACTGTTACTGGCCATTTCTATGCGCAAGTTTTGCAGAGGTTGCGCGATGTGGTTCAGAAGAAGCGGCGCGACAAGTAGCAGGGACAGTGGTTTCTGCATCATGATAATGCACCGAGCCACACATTGCTTATTGTGCAGCAATTCCTCAATGAGAAAAACATGCCTGTCATCACTCAACCACCGTACTCTCCAGATCTTGCTCTGAGTGACTTTTGGCTGTTCCCTACTCTGAAAATGGGCCTCAAGAGGACATGTTTCGCAACCATGGAGGTCATCAAATTGAATGCGATGGCTGAGGTCCGGAAGATTCCAAAAGAAGCCTTCCACTGCTGCTTCCAACAATGGCAGGATCGATGGAGCAAGTGTGTGCACGTGCAAGTGTCTTACTCTGAAGGTGATTAGGTAAGCATTGCCATATGTCCTACCATTAGAGTGCTATACCACCATTCCGGGAACTTTTTGACTGCCCCTTGTATACAGTCAGGCTATCACACAACACGTCGATTCTGCTATGTATCAATACAACAATCAGTTTGTTATATCAAACACTACATGTTCTGATCATGGTTGACGATCCTCAGGTGTGTACATATAAATTCATTGCATTATATTACTGAGTATACAATCAGCATGGACCCATTTTAGTTGTACAGTTAAAAGTTAAAAAAATATGTATTAACAGCATAAAATTATATACATACGAGTACATACAATGTGTATATATAACACATAAAATGTGAACAGTATACTGAATTGTAATTTGGTGGTGTGTTTGTATTCTGTGTGGATTTATGTGTTGTATTTATAATATTATATGTAGTTGGTAATGTCAGTATGACTATAGTGTGGTTGGGATATATTCATGTTTTCTTCCACCTGTATAGCTCATATGTATATGCGTATATGTTTATTAATTTGTCATTATGTGATTTCTGTGGAAACCAAATGAAAAACTAATCTCTATTAGCTGTGACAGAACGATAATATGGCAGCCACAACGGCCATGTTTCACTCAGTATCAGAGTGTTGACCTTTACTGAAAAAAAAGTAAAAAAGCACCTCTAAGGTATTATTATTATTAACCTTATTCTTTCAAGATGTCTTTCTAGAACCTGTATAACAGTGATTTCAGAATGTCCCTTGAGGGCTGTATCAGTGGAAGGGTTATCTCTGGAAATTGCAGTTAGAGATGGGAACTGTCAAATTTTCATGCTGAATTTTCAGCAGGCATTTCAATAGCACTATTGAAGTTATATGTGATATGATAGGTCTACAGCCAAAGGGACATATGTGAGTACATGAAAGAAAATTAACACAGAGAACACATCACAATAATATCTTTTAAACGTTGCAGATACGAGAAATCAACATTCACACTAACACACACGAAACTACATGAAACGCGAACACAACTCTGCCGCTGAAGTTTGTCCTAATGGGTCCCATAAGAAGACTGGAATTAACCGGTTTTATTAAATTTAATAATAAATTTGTAATTTTAATTTTAACTAAGGAGTACAAATAAATAGCTACATACAATTGTGACATGCAGTACAGTACAACAGTTTTGCATAGTGACAGACATCTGATGATGGCCATGGATGGCCAAAACATGTCGTAAACGAAGAATTAAAGTGACTATAGCCTTTTGTGACAGAAATACATATTGTATGAAATTGTTGTTGTACAAAATATATTTTTTACATGAACATTTTGTAAGAAGACCTGGGGTTCTCATCACAGTGGATATTAAGGTTACATTCTTCTGGTTGCAACATCACATAATTAGCACTGTTTGGAAGTAACATGCTGCTTCCATCCTCAGAACATGACAGTTCTGCTCCAAAGCTTGGGTATCCATTTATCTGGCTACATGACATCACACCCAACAAGGAAGTAACCTTAATATTCGTTGCCATGGAAATCCTATTCTCACAGAGCATCAACCTCTACTATTCATACATGCTGTAACATAAGACAAAACTAAGCATTTACTAGTACAAAATGGTTGAGAAAACTATCAGAAGGCCCACAAGACCATGAGGCACACTGAAATATGACTACAGAAGTGGTAAGAGAGTCACCATGACCAACGAAAATTCAGAAGGTAAATTAGAAATTATAGTGTGGGAACAGCTGAATAGAAACAGTATGATTTCAGTATCACTCACTTGCAGGAGGTCACCACTGATGTCCTCATCAGTGCTGCGCTCTACCTCATCTTCTGACCCTGGTGGCGGACTTTGAGGCACTGGCGGGGGCTCCTGAAATCATCACATCACACGACTTAAAGCAAAATCACCAGCATCAGTAGATCACAGCAACTATGTCAAATGGTCTTTTGCCAGTGACCAGGGGAGAAAATGGCTTCACACGGCCCAAGATGAGGATCCAGATGAAATTTTATTCAGATATAAAATGTCTATTTGTTTGTAATATTCAAAGTGGAAAATATATTTCTGTGAAATTAATCATATGAACTGAATAAATCCCTTTATGCACACACTTAATAAAAAAAGTTCTGTATGGCTTAAATGAGTGTCGATCATATCCTTTCAGCCATCCATTTATACAACTTTTTGAAGAAAGTCATTTCTTGCTATGAAAGAAAAAAGGTAAAGTTGTTCCTGTGACCTGTGGCTCTTTTCCTGGGAGCAAAGTGACTGGAGCATGAAGCTGACCACTCACCTCCATCCAATGCCAAGATTAAGACTGGTGGAACTATACCTCCATTTGCATGTCTTCATGGCAGTACTTAACTAATTAAGCACAGGGACAACTTTGCCTTAACTTGCCATTATGTTATTATATATGTTAGCAGTCATAGCTGGCAGCAGGTATGAAAATAATCAGTAGGTGGCAGCAATAAATGGCGGTGGACGATATGCCTCAGCCGATATTGCAGTGTTCACCTTTATCAAAAAACAATCATATGGTACTCCCAGACAGCAGCACCAGTTAGTTCATACTGTCAATTTACGAAGTCAGTACGTTAAACAGCTGCAGATATCTTTTCATGCCTTTCCAGTTCACAGCTTGCATGTTCATCAGTGACTCTAGTGTATAACTGTGGATCACAATGCAGTAAGCACAGTGTGACCATGATATAACAATGGCAACGGTTTCCTGTTGAAATGTCACCATGCATTATGTTAGTTAACACAGGAGTTAAAGAGACTTGGCTACCAAACAAGCTGGCTCAGTCAATAACAATTCTGACTTGTATTCTGAAGAGATTCTTTGAATCTCAGATGGGACATTAACCATCCTGAGTCATTTCGTGGTTTTCCTCAGTCCTGCCAGGCAATTAGGCCATTACTGCTTCCTTCCATACCCATTCCAACTCATTATTCACTATCATTTTAATTTTAATCTACTTATATATCAAATTGTTAATATTCAGAATTAACTTGACTTGTCATATATCATGTACAATGATCTACAGTGACGAAATCAATCAATCAATCATCCAGTCATTCGAAATGGCATGTCTTCAGGTTACTGACAGCACTGTTATATAAACACAAACGAAAGAGAAGGAAAAGACTGCAGCCATGAACTTATTTTCCCGGGTTCGAACGCCAGGGAAATGTCCGAGTCTGACACACATCATCAGTCAGTGTGCCTCACTGCATGTTTCAGAACTGCGGGGCTCACGTGAATGAGAACACGGGACAAAGAAGAACTGAACTAGATAACCTTTTTTTTTCCCCCTCATGGGGTGAGACTGAATCCACTTGGTACTGCGGCCACTGTTTGGACTATTGTACCAGCCCAGAAGATAGATGATGATGATTGTGGAGCAATCGGTGGAATGCGAATTTGTAGGGGAAACCGAAGTGCTCGGAGAAAACTTGCCCAACTGCCACTTTGTCCACCACAAATTCCACATGACCTGACCCGGGCTCGAACCTGGGCCGCCGCGGACTACATAACCTTACAATGTATGCAAATACAACGTCCAATGCAACGTTGTGAGACGATCTGAACCAGGGGAACGCAAACTGTTCAGAGGTCTGTCCACGGTTCAAAATACGAAGCCCAGTGTGGGCACCTAATTGTAACTGAAGACCTAGACGTAGATGATAGGACACTGCTAAAATTTATTTCAGATAAACAGGGTGGTGACGTGCACTGGCTGTATCTAGCGCAGAACAAAGGCTAATGTCCGGCTCCTGTAAACATGAAAACAAACCTTCGGGTTCTATGACGGGCGAGGAATTTGCTCCCCATGTACTCTTCTCCCTCGAAGTAGTTGGGCTTCTACTGTCACGCAGCGAGAACCCCAAATTTCACAGGAAAAATGCTGGCATGCTGAACGACTGACTGCTTCAGGAACACCCTATACAGATCTTTTTACTACGACGAAAATTGTCTTTTCGCTTTTATAATAAAACCGCAAATTGTGACTGCCACCCCCTTCCAGGCGCACGCGCAGTGCGTGGGGTCGGACGGGCTCTGCCAGACATGTCGCTGTCGCACAGAGCCAGTGTACAGTGCTCAGTGACACGGGTGGGAGGGGTTAACATGACTGTCGTAGACTGGATCATCACACAGCCTATTCTATTTTATCTGTGGTTTATTTACCGATGTTGCCAGCAGCTCAGACTTCATAGCACCTAACTGATTAGTCAATGCGGAAGAGAGCGGGAGTGCCCTAGTTTGTGGTACTATCTCGGCATGTACCTGTAGGCACTGAGGAAAATTATGGAAAATCTCAATCAAGGTAGTCGGTGCATCGGCCGGGAGTGGAACCGGACACCTCACCAATACAAGTCAGAAGCGCTACCACGCCGGTCAGCTGCTCAGTGACTCCGTGTTTTCCGGTATTCTCCGTTTGTAACGTTTCCGAGGGTGCGTCATGAAGGCTGTTACGTTCGAGAGCTACCAGATTCCATTTGTAGCACCATCAGACATGTTACCAACACTGCGGAGGGTGAAGATGGCAGGCCCGTCCGATACGCTGATACCCACTACCAGACTACACGATGTCATCAAACAGACGATCTCTGTCGAAATTTTCATTGCGGTAAAAACTTCGAACCCCATGTGCAGTGAAAGTCAAATAATTGGGGAAGTATTCGTAGCCTCATTTAAACTGCGTGGTCACATGCTACACCACAGGAATGGCGCACACGCACTTGATCCCAAAGTGTTCCAGCAGATGTGTTCACAGCTGAATTTGTTTTGCTTTCAGACCTTTTGTGAAATTCTTTGGGGGTCGCAAATGGCCCCACCCATCTTAGTGAATACGTTCCAGCGATCCAGTAATGCATTTCTGCACACCTCACGGAACGCCAAGGTTCAGCACCGTGTTCAAAAAATCCCACCATTCAATCCATTTATAATTTCATTTCACTGTGATCCCATTTTAAAACTACCTTCTCATCTCCACCTTTGAGATTTCTTAAACAAAGGCGTATATTTCTCTTGACTCCCGTGTGTGCTACTTATCAGTAGGCTCTCATGCTGCAGTCTGCAACATCTCTGACGTCACGTCGTACCTTCGGAGAGCAACCGTACGCAAGAAAAGTCCTATGTGTTCAGCGAGACTTGCATGGCCAGTTTAGTCTCCATTGTGTAATGAAAATGTTATCTACGAGGGAGAGTCAGTAAATAGGTCACAAATGGATATAAAACGTGAAACATGCGATATTCTAGTCCGAAAAAAAAAAAACATTTATTTCTCGACATATCCTCCACCTACACTGATACATTTGTCCCATCGCTTTACCAGTGCGTCGAAACCCGCAGCATAGAAGTCTTTTGACTTTTGTCTCAGCCACTTGCACCTGGTCGGGCATCATCTGCTAATTCCGAACGTCCTTCGGAGAATTTCTGGACCCAGTTGTGAACCGCTTTACGCGACAAACACTTCCCACCATAAACAGGAAACATTTCTTTGCGAACATCCTTTGCATTGAGATCTTTTGCCCACAAAAAGAACGCTGCTTTTCGCTAATACGCCTTCAAGCACGGTCACCATTCTAACTACTGAAACCAGCCTCTGAACATGCGCATGAGGGTCTGCTACCCAGACTGTCATGAGGGTGGACTGTGCTGCTACCTAGTGATACATACAGAAAACCTATTACGTCCATTACAGCTGTTGTACTTCCATTTGTGACCTATTCACTGACTCGCCCTCCTAAAAACTTTCTAATCATGACGTAACGATATAAGTCACAATCTGATGATGGCCCACTCTCATATAATTTATACATAGCTCGAAGACAGGATTCTTCATAGTCACCGCCGCGAAAACCTCAAATCTTATACACGCCGTTTACTCGTAACCAGTGTATTCTGTTCTTGATATCAATCAATATGACAGCATGTATGTCAGGGAAACCTCAGGGAACTTTTCTTTTCTTTTGTTTGCCAGACGGCAGTTAGAAGTTGGTATGTAACCAGAGGGTCATGCAACCGGTCATCTTGGCTTTCCTCTACTTTCAAGCAAGTGGTTCCCAAGCTGCAGGCAGCTACTGCAAGCTTCCCGTCCAGACCTCCCAACTGAAATCGACCACAATTAATTCGCTTGCTGGGGAGACCACCAAATATCATTCGAAATTAGGCAACTCACTGGTAACCAGAAAATCAAAATTTCGCAGCCCTTTTCTTACTCCACAATTTCTTGCCACTCTTTAAGAAGTGATCATCTTCCTCCCCTCGAATTCAAACGTCTTTCCGCTTTCGCCTACTCTTGCACCACTCTAACAGCTCCTAACAGCTGTTCACAAAACTTAAGGCGTAACGCGAAATAAGTACCGCGATTACGCGATCACTACCAGGCAACATGGCGGGCGACGGCGTGGCGTATGATCTTCTGGGTTGTAAAGCCGTGTACTTAGGACAGCCCGACGTTTCGAAAGAACATGCTGCCTCTACAGTGTCAAAGGTGGAAGAGTAAGCCATGCAAGAAACAGCAGAAGCAGGTGGTAAACTGAGGGGAAGATGGAGGCTATATATTCCTTCGAAACGTCGGGCTCTCCCCAAACTACAGGGATCATGGCCATCGCTGAGACAACCTCAGAGCCAACAAATGTCCTTTCCTTTTGAAAACTACCGCCCGATTTGCGATGACGCTTTCGGTAACGCATTCACGGCATGAAGTTTATCAAAATGAGGAGAAATGGATTTCGTAAGTGAACTGCTAACGAAGAAAACCCTACCTTACAAGGGAAGAAGGCTGCAACCTCTCTATCAGCCACGGGCGGCACGTAGATCCAAGTGATCCTACAGTACAGGTAAATGTGCAGACATAACTGAATGGCCACACCGTCAATGTGTTATCATTCAGATAAGGACAAGGTTTATCAGTGCAAGCCGACTCTTAACGCTGAACGTGGAGAAGTGTTTCGGTTATGTATGCCATGGCAATGAAATCCATTTCAGTATGCCACGGTTGCTATGGTTACCGCATTTCGTTGAACGCTGTGCCCTATTGATTAACATTCCTGTTTCGTACGCGGGAGGTGGCGGGTTCAAATCTCGACTACCCTAAAGTTCTCTTCAGTAATTCTAAGAAATATCAGGATAGTACATTACTTACAAGGATTCTGTCAATACAACAACACAGCTTCTGTACTGTAAAAGTTAGGAACTTCTTGTGGGATGTGAAGCCGTGTAATCTGGTATGCCGGATGCGCGAGAGGGGAGGGTGCGTGAAAGACAAGGGTAGAGGCACTGTTCTTGCCTGTCTCTCTCGCGCCCTCACTTGTTCGGTCTAGTCTTCAATATTTCGTGTCTGCACATCGAAGACAGGGCTCTCAGACTTTGATGTGGCCGAGATGACGTATCCCCATTAAATCCGTAAGATAAGCGGGTTTACGTAACACGCCGTTGCCTAGGAACATAAACCCGACAGCAACTTACCGTGTCTTCCAGGTCGGGCGAGAGGGAGCCAGAGCTGCTGAATATGGAGTGGTCGTCCAGAGTGGGCGTGGCCTGGCTGAGGCCTTCCAGAAGCTCCTGCAACAAGAAAACGAGTGGTGATACAGGGGCTACTGAGCTCGCTCAGGCCCTGGAATACTATTCGCCATTACTGAAACCCGCCACTGGGCACAATTTAAGTAAGTAAAAAAGTAAAGTTATCCTTGTACAAGGCCGTGAAGGGCCATAGGGTTGTGAGACGTTGAGGGCCCCACATTATCTAGACAATCGGCTCAAAGATGGCGGTAAGGTTGTCAGCCTTACGCGCCGGCCGCGCTTTACTCCCCAGGAAAATTATTTAATTAATTCCTAGTACTCATTTCTGTTAGAGGCTGAGTCAACCCCAGGGCCTAGTGCGGCCGGAAGGATTAGGGCAATTGAAAAAAAATTCGATGATTTCATCGGGACTTGAACCCGCGACCTTCCGGCTTGTAGCATAGCCCCTCTACCAGCTACAATCTAAGACCCATCAAAATGCCTCCCTTTAGTCTCTCTCCGTCCTGACCTTCCGAGTGGCTGCGTTTCGAGAGGTTTCCCCAGAAACACTCTCTGCCTGCACCCCTTCTTTTCCGCAAGCTATCAGAACCTCCTTCCCACATTTCGTAGCATAACAATATGAGATGTTCTCTATAAAGCATTACTTCATACTTCTGTACTGTCCCAAATTATCCACTGATTTCAGCCTTATTGCGTTCAAATATTTTAGCCTTTTCACGAAACGTGGTAATTACGTGTACCACCTACTTTAACTTTAAGAAAGAACTTGCATTTGTTCACAGTGTATTTATGCCCATCGTATGATTCTAACAATAAACACCTATTAACTCTCTTAACGGCATTAACCGGCTGGTCTTTGAATTGGGAAGACTAAATTTTTAAGGGCGTTCGCATCTCCGCGAAGCGTCTATTGTGTTAGCTCAGTCCATCGGTCCTTTTATATGAAACAACTCCAGAATCGGTGGATGAATTTTCATGAAATTTGGCACTAGAGGACTGTAAGAAGAACTGCTGAGACACTTCAATTTCCCGTTCAGGTTCAACGATCTTCTACACGAATCTCCGCGTGTCTCGATGGAAGTCGCTAAATATTTATCGGAGGGTGAACAAAGCTTCGAACAACCGCTGCAACGACAAATGAAACACACATTTTTTTTTTCTGCAAGTCTTACAGCACTCGCGTGGAGCCCAAGCTGTATTTAAAAGCATACTGCCAGAGATCACGGTAGAGTTACTGCTGCTCTTCCTCACTCGCCTCATGATACAGACACCAAAAGCCTGCGCCTGCTTCCTCCTCTCGGTTTATACCGTAGAATCTGTTTCGGTGTTCTTTCATCAGTCATTACGTCCAAATAGTTACAATTTCGTCGGTGTTAATACATTTTACTTTATATTCGATTCCCGATGAGGTCACTGGATTTCTCAATTGACCTAATCCTTCCAGCCCCATTATGGCCCCTGGGGACGACTCAGCCTCTAACAGAAATGAGTACCAGGGATCTTGCTCAGGGGTGAAGTGCAGCAGGGGCGTGAGGCTGACAACCTCGCCGATATGTGAGCCGATGGTCTAGAAAATGTGGGAGCCTCGACGTCTCACAACCCTATGGGCCTCCACGGCCTGTTACAGGGACAAGTGTACCTTTTTTTATTTAACGACCCTCTCAGCATTGAGAATATACAAACGTCGGTTGATAGGATGATCACTTAGACGGGATATGGAAGTGGTCGTAGCTTAAACGTATTACTCTTCCCGCATTTGTCTGGAGGGACTGAAGGTACTCTCAAAAACTTATGATGGCCAGTGTCTTGGTCTAGATTCGAACCGAGCACCTCCCGAACACAAACCCAGAGCATTAATGCTAGAGCAGCATGTTCTGTTTGCACGTCCTGCGTACCACGTGCCAGGTCTACTGCAGTCCTCAAATGTCCCGAACTGTGTCATCTCCACTGACTGTACGTGTATTCTGCTCACATGTTCCGCCTGTCCTAGCCGTTATACTGGACCATCACTTTCATACGGCCTCTTAGGAACCAATTAAAAATTAAGAGTTCTGTCTTCTGGGATATAACGTTGTGTCACCCGCTGAAGTCAACCGACGTTTGGGGGGGGGGGACATGTCGCCTCCATCTTCAGGGTTGAAGAGTAAGGTAAACGAGAAACCAGCATGAAGCGGGAACAAGAAAAGCCAGCTTTGTGCTGGCTTCTTACATGGCTTACTCTTCGAACCCTGAAGACAGAGGCGACATGTTCCTCCGAAACGTCGGCCGACTTTCAACAAATTACACATTGTTATAACTCTTCATGACCACAGCTTTGGGAACCTCACATCCTACACCAATTAAAAACGTCTTAAAAATAAACCAACGCTGAAGCAGTAAGCAAATTCAGAGAACTCCCAGCAACACGAGTGCCAAAATTCACAGCTGTGGAGCATGTACTTACATAGGAAACTGCACCTAAATCTGATGAAATTTCGGTTTACGGCTTCCTCTCAAAACAAAACAGGTCATAAACTTCGTGCCGTATTCCGGAGGCACTTACTTCGAATCTCGGCCCATGATCAAGCTATCTAGTCTCCATGTTTCTACTCAGATTCTGGAGGAAAATACGGGGCAGGCTAAACTTGCGTCCGGGAATAATTCCGTAGCATGCCACGAAGACATATCAAAAACTGCCGGTATAGCTCCACAAAATCTTGACCTGGGCGACAGATAGAGGCGAGCTCACGCTCCTGGCGCTTTACCCCAACGGGAAGAGCCCCGGTGCCTACTGGATAGGATGATTGGTCTGGACGCGACGGAACATGGAAAATCTATGGTCCTGCCGGGAATAGAAACACCGGTGGTACGTTAAGTAGGCCACTAGCGTAGCCATCCAAACTTATCATACAAATGGCATTGTTCGATCTAATATAATCCACGCTGTTGCTTTAAATAATAAAGGAACGAAAAGAAGCCGAGGGCTCACTGCATTGAAGGTGGCAGACCGAGTCGGGAAGTATTATGCGCCATCTGTGTGCACAATGTGCAACTATTACCACTCCTTACTATGACATTCACTGTCCTGGACAGCCGAATTTCTGGCTTTAACATACCGGGTTCAATACCAGACATACCCCGGCTGTCAAGATCATTTCTTCCCCGTTAACGAAAGCGGTCGCGGTCTGACCGAAGTACTGTTTCGGAATTTACCTGAGCAGGATAGCAGGTATACCAGCGGAGGTTCGAATTGCGCTCCTCTTCGCCACGCTGCTCGGTCTGGGAGAATGATTACAAGTGATGAATGTGAAAGGATGCGGAAGTTAAGGTACTATCGCAGCATGCCTGGAAAGCTACATATCCTTTCCAATTCATTAGACGCCGTACAGTCTAAGCTGCTGATAAGCGGCCTCCGTAACGTTCCCACCTCATGACTCGTAGTACGCGGGTTCAAATACCCGGCGGAGGTCGTCGAATTTTTAAGGGCGGAAAAATTCAGGGAACAAGTCCTCCGAGAGGGACTTTAAGCTATGGGTCCCGTGTCGTAGCTTTACGGCACGTAAAAGAACCTCATATCTCCAAAGGAGGTCACTGAGCCAAATTACGGACGTTTCCCGCCCAACAGCAGTCTCTAATACCTCTGGTAGATGGGGGAAGCATTATAGATACCTCTCAGCTGGTAGAGCCGGTCTCGCTGGCTGGGCGGGACTGATGGTAAGCACCAGTACCGGTAGGACATAGAGACTGGTAGAAATCATAGAGGGAAGCACAATGGACCAATACAGGTCTAAGTGCATGGGGAAACCCACCCTCTTCAATAACTAACTAACTAAGCTGCTGATAGCGTCGTCAAATGGGTCCCTTGTCACCAAGACATGTCACAGACGGGGATGGCCGACAAGAGGTGATCATCCTGCTTGGGGGTTGGGCGGGAGACTAACAATTTATTACCGTGAAAATGACGTAGGTAATGGGTCTTTGGACGCCGTGAAAGGGGGTAATTTGAGTAGCTGAGCAACTGTAAGCTTCTTCGGAAGAACTCTGCTCCATTGAGTTAGTTGGTAATAAATAAATGAACTGGGGAGAAGAGCGCTGTTCACAACGGCCCGGTGACTCAGCACGCTTACTGGCACGCAATGAATGCAGACAGAAGATTGCCTTCAATTTTACGAGCACATAAGCCAACGAAAACGGAATAGGTTACACAATTACGTCACCGGTACCTTGTAAAACTTGTTCCCCAAGAACAGCTGCTTTTGTCTTGCAAACATGCAGAGTGCCGCTTCACCGGTACAGTCCGATGTAAATGCTTGTAACATGCGTTCGAGAGAAATCAGATGCACTTATGCTTTATTTAACAACGCTGTCAGTTGCTCTGACTGTGGAAGGTTTAGTTGAGATTCTATACCGACATCTGCCTGGAAGGACTTTAGATATCCACGAAAACCCCCAGGACAGCCAATATATGGGCAGGGGATCGAACTGGGGACGTCCTGCGTACATGTAAAAAGCGTTAACGCTTGAACCAGTTTGTTGGGTTTCAGGTTAGAGATTTGAACCTGGGGCCTCCGGCTAACCGCTGGACCGAGACACACCCATGTGTATATCGAAATGTGCTCGTGAGAAAGTGGACTTCGTAAGGCGAGCTGTAGGGACAATGTGGACCTCGCGGATATGAATGTCCTGGCATTTACTGCTTACATTCCGCGCTCGGGTCTTCTACCGAAACTGTAATACGGCCGCCATGAAAAACAGGGCTGGCTAAATCTTCCAAAATTGTTCTTGTTTCCAAAGTTCACGATTTAGGAGACTGGAGTGGTCACATCAGCGGTAGGCCGCGTTAGGGGTTGCAAGTGTTTTGCCTCAACACAGTAGTGTCACATGCAGTATGTGACTTTAGACGGGGTTTGGATTGGTGAATAGATTTATCGACCACTTACAAGTCGTAACTACATATAATACTATCGCTGATTTCTACACTTTACAGAATCACTACACGTTAAGTTTTCTCTAGCCTGCTACTGGACGTTTCCTGGCAACGGCTTCTAACAATGGCTATTTCA